CGAATACCGAGAGAGGTAAAATCGATCAAATTTTTTTTTTATTTTCTTAATTTTTTTTATTTTCTATAATTATTGTAAACATATGTACAGAGTATTTCAAAGTCGGGACACCCGACTTTAGCTTTTTTACTTGTTTTTTTCTATAATTATTGTAAGCATATGTACAGAGTATTTTAAAGTCGGGACACCCGACTTTAGCTTTTTTTCTTGTTTTTATTAATTTTCTTAATTTTTTTTATTTTCTATAATTATTGTAAATATATGTACAGAGTATTTCAAAGTCGGGACACCCGGCTTTAGCTTTTTTACTTGTTTTGTATTAAATTTAATTAATTAAATTAAATTAAATTAATGAATTAATTAAATTAATTTAATTAATTAATTTAATTTATTTAATTTCTTATTTTGTGGGGTGGTACAGGGTATTTAAGAGTTGAGCCTGCTGGACTTTAGTATTCTTTTTTTTTTGTGTGGTCTACCGGCGAAAGTATTTTTGTATTTTAATTTATTTGATATTTTTCATTAAAAGTCATAATAACGATTACTTTATTAGTTAATAACATTAGTAATAATAGTATGTTAGCTTAATATCTATACACATTTTTAATTTGAAAAATCCCTGTTGAATTTCTACCTTATATGAGCTTCTTTTTCTATGAAAAGGTAATTTTTAAAAACATCTCTATTTAATGCGATATGATATTGATGTGAATTTATGGAATATTAAAAACTATCATATTCCAAACTTATATTCCTTTAAGTTTCAAGAAACAACCCTCCTGAATGGTCTGATCAAAAAGGATGTGGTCTATTTGGTCTGACTTCTCAATTAAGCTCCTGAAACGGTTATTAACTAATAATTGGAAGACCCAGTTGAATTTTCTGAACATACATCGTTTTTATATACATAGATGTCATTTAGTTCAAAATTTGTATTGCATTTTTATTTGTTTAGTTAATATTTATTACATACTACAAGTAAAAGGCCCCTGATATACTTTGACACCTCCTCTTTAACTATGGTTTTTTTTGCCCGCTTTTTTGGCAGAAATTCCCAAAAAATTGTCCAATTGTCCAAATATAATTTTTTTTATTTTATTATAAATTGTTTAATTAAGCGATAATTAAATTAATTTTTGCTGATATGGCAACACTATTTTCATGGCGCGCAGTCAAAGTTACCTGATTGTATTAAACACATACTTGTATGTTTGTGATGTTTGTGGCAATTTTTGGTAAATTTTCAAAGCTTGCAGTATTAAGAGCAGTACCAAAAAATAATAAGTTTTATTATATAAACCGTTAATCAAGGTATGTAAAATTATAATCCATGACTGTTTTTAATCGACAAAGACATGCAGAAGGCAGACCCCACAAAGTATACAAGTATATACAGGGGTACCACAGAAATGTCTTCGGCCCAAGTTTCGCCTCAAAACCAATTCTCGGTGCCACAGAATGGGATGTTTCAAATCTTGTGTGCTTTGCTAGGAGGTTTGATTAAACACACTAACAAAGACATTTTTCCAAATAAAAGTAATCACTCGAATATAAACCTTATTGTTTTTCTGAATAATCTGCATCAAAAATATTTTGCATATCCATCGTAAATATTATTTAATTAGCAAGTTACTAAATGTATACTTAAAACACCAGCATTCACACATAGCATCCAAAACAACCGCACAATAGAGATGCCCCATTGACCCAAACACAATATTACATTTTGTGAACATCACAATTTGTTAAGTCTAACAGTGTGAGTGAAACGAAAGCTAAAAATAAAATATATGTATATTTGATGCAATTCTTCTTTCAAATAAGTACCACATAACTGTGTATTAATTAAACAAACTTGGAGAAAATTTTGTGTCGCCGATTGGGCAAGTCTTTTTGTTAGCGAAAATGGAGGGGAAGTTCGAAAAAATGAAATCTTTCGAAGTTCTGTGTCGAGTGTTGGGAGTTTTCAAAAACAATTGTAGCCGGAACTACCGGATTTTCTGTGGCACCCCTGATATTCTTGATCCTGACCAGGCGAGTCGGTATATCCATGTCCGTCTGTCCGTCCGCCCGTCTGTATGAACGCAAGGTTCTCAAAAATTATAAAAGCTAGAATAACCAAATTTGGTATATAGAATCTCCTAAGACGAGTTTGTGTATTTTTTTTTTATGCAACCCCTCCCACTCCTCCGCAATTCGCATTTTTGCCAAAACCCCCGTTGTTTTGGAAACTTGTACTCAGATTTGGCAAATACCTCCAACTGGATGCGATTATGAGTCCGTATACCAAGATTCATTACGATAGGTTTATTATGAAGAAAGTTATAGCCATAAATTTACTCGCAGCAGAAGCTGTGCCCGGAGCTTTGTTATTGTTGCTTCTTCGACATATTCCTGCACTGCATACATACACGCATATAAACACGCATAGACACAATGATGTAAATTTATGCTGTTGAAACATAAACACATCTTATGTATGTACAAGTATGTATTGAATATGTATATTTTTAATTTATTAAAATAATTAATAATAATTAATAATTAAAGAAGTGTAGCTTTTTTGTACGTTTTTTGTATTTATATTTACTTCTCTTCTTCCCTTTAAAAACTGTTTATTTTTCTTACATACATATGTATGTAATTGCTTCGCTACAGATTTCTCTCTGGAACGAAACTGGCGTTTCACATGCAAACTTGAAAGTATATAGTTTTTAAACGACGCAAATATCTATTTCTACAAGACGCTTGTAGGGGCGGACTTAATCAATAAGTCCAATTTTGAAATACCATGAATCTCATGGTAGCTCTTGCATATTAATTAGATACTGCATTTTTATTTATTCCACAGGTTTTAAATAAACTACTTGCCATCTAGATCGGTAAATATGCAATCACTGACTCTCGGTGCAGTCCACTGTCAACCTCGCATTTCGATCTCTGAGGATCAATTAAAGAGATTCTTCAACACTTTATAGGAGCACTTTATTGAAGGCTATAATGCTAAGCACATGCATTGAGGATCTGGATACCTGTATAACGTGATCATCAAACCACTTAACGAATTCGGCTATCTTTCTCCGGCAAGGTTAAATACTGGTCAGCAGATCCTAAAAAACTACCCAGAAAACTTCACCAGAATGAACGTGCGAAATATTGTAAAAGCCAAGGCTCTATCAGACTTATCGTATGATTACTTTCCAGTCCCCAGTAATCTCCTGTACCACCCGACCATTGTCGTACGACCCTGGATGAAGTACAAACAAGAAAGGAATGCTAGAGTCAAGAGGGCTCAAAGCTTAAATACTATTTCCACAGAAAATTAAATACAATTAGTATAATCTGTACCTAAAAGGAACAAGAGGGTATTTGATTGGCGGGAAGTGCAAAATTTAATAGGCAGAATGAGGCATGGTACCAAATTTTAGTCCAGACTTACATATATGCAAAAAGTGTGGATACATTACACAGGTAGATATAGGTGATTATATGAACATAACGAACATAATATACTTTTGTACATTTAATGTACAGAGTATGAAAAGTACAAGAAAATTGTTGATCAATAATAGCTCCTTGGGTATTTATAGGAATTGTGTCTATGTGAGGGTATACGTGTCTGTGGGTGAGCGGGTATGCAGCTCAGAGTTGAGACAAAGAAACAACAACAATACCAGCTGCGAGCAAAGTTAGGGCAGAGATAACATTTATGGCTATAACTTTCTTTCAAATTGATGAATGTTTATGCCAAGTTTAAATAAAATATGACAGGATTTATGGGATCGACCCATTTTGTCATACTGATCAAGAATACAAATACTTGGTGGGGTCTGCCACGCCTCCTTCTGTCTGTTACATTTTTCACCTCTCGCGAACCTAATATACTTTTGTAGACGGACGGCTATATCGACTCGATTTGTCATCCTGATCAATAATATATATACTTTTGGGGGTCTGCTACGTTACATACATTCGCATAAAACTAGTATACCCTTTCACCCTTTGGGTACAGTGTACAAAAATGTTCACAGCAATAAACTTTGCATTATTTTCATTCTTTTCAATTTTGTCCAAGGCGAAACTCCGTAGTCAGCATATTCAGCATGGCACAACGTGATGTGCACAGTAAGATAAAGTTCAACATTTTAAAATTCAAATTTCATTTTACTATAAATTGCTTTCTATATTTCTTTTATTACAAGTATATATTGTTTGAATAATACTTGATTCCATACTTACAAAAATACCGTGTTTGGACATTTACGAATACAATGTTTATATTCTGTACATGAAATGTAGGTTTGCGGGAGATGAAAAATGTAACTGGAAGAAGGAGGCTTGGCAGACCCCACCAAGTATTTGTATTCTTGATCAGTATGACCAAACGGGTCGATCTAGCCCTGTCTGCCCGTCTGTCCAAATGAACAACTGGATCTCAGAGCTCCAGATACCTTATGTATGTACGCTATACGAGTTTTTTTTTATTTTTTTTTAATTTTTTTTATTTTCTCCCACTTCCTCCATATGGGATATTTTAGAAACGCCGATCTTATAATCATCTATATCTAAGAGACTATAAGACCTAGAGACACCAAATTTTATTCCAAGATGCCTTGTCTGTCTTTCCGTATGAACATCTGAATCTCAGAGACTATAAGAGATAGAGACTCCAAATTTTTCACAAAGAATACGCAGAGTTAAGAATTTTCCCTAACTCTCGTAATTCATGTAATTTTTTACTCAAATTTGGCAAATTCTATACATCCACTTAGGGATTATATGTTTATATGTATGCCAAGTTTTATTTTGATAATATTTTGATTTTACAATTCCTATGTAAATGTGCATTTATACACCCTTTACATGATGTCGAACATATTTTTTTTTTAATTTTCTAAATTTCGGACAGATCTTAAATAAAGATAAGCACAAAAAAAATCAACTTTGTTCACTACTATCATATACTATTATTCTGATACCACTGTGCGGAAGGCTTGCAAATATATATTTCTTAGTTTTTCTTTCAGTCACATAATATGACCTGGTCGGCATGCAACAAATATTTCGTCAGTTGCCTCGTTATCGCTTTCGCCCATACGAATTTGAACACTAGTCACTTTGCTGCGTTTCGTCTTTTCGTTTTGTTTATTGTGAAAGTGCCATTATAGTTATTGATTAAATGTAAGAAGATGTTTCTGAAAAGTTATTAATATTTTGTCTTCCTTCTGTGGTCAATGATATTGGCATACCAACAAATAATATGTATTCTTTTCTTTATTTTTGTTCACCCTATAGACCAAAAATTAATAATTGATTAAAAGACAACCAACGATAAAAATAGCTTGAAAATATTCATAGCTACATCAAATGATAATTTGCATATAATATGCGTACATGTTACAGAAAAAAATTAAATATAGCGTCTAAAATTAAATTTCACGGCAAAGAAAAAGAATTTTCAGTGGCTGCTGATGAACTAAAACTAAAAACTAAAGCCTCTTCAAAATGGTTGTGAATGGTACATATTCATCTCTATATTTATAAAACAGTTTGTCCTGACTGACTGATTGGTGATCAACGCACAGGCCAAACGGTAAGAGCTAGGAAGCCGAAATCTGGACTCAAGTATCCTTTCATAGTGTAGGTGCCCACTAAGAAGGGATTTTGGAAAATTCCAGCTGCAAAGGGGGGAAAACAGGCTCCCACGTTTGTATGAAAAATCTACAATTTTCATTTGATTAACTTCAAATTGAGTTTGTATACTCTCAGAAAAATTCCAAGAAAAACTGCATACTTGGTTCAATTTTTGTTGGGGATTGAAATATGGGTTTTCCTGTAAAAAAAAATGGGGCATCAAAGGAAACCGCGTCAACAGCCCAAACGGCAAGAGCTATGAAGCTGAAATTTGGGCTCAGGGAAATTTGAAAATTCTGCATTTCTGAACCGATGAACTTTAAATTTTCAAGGATTTTCAAAATATGCATTTTACAAATGCAGGCAGAACAAACAATACAAAATATGAAACAGTTGGGGACAACTAAGTATACATACACACACACACACACATACAAGCAGCTGTTCGTGTAGTTGCGTGCAAACGATTGAAATAGCCAAAGCAAAATATGAGACACTAATGTGTGAATGTACACACATATGTACATATGTACACATCTATATATGTACACATCTATGTATGTACTTTGTCATTAGTGAACCGATTGACTTGAGTGGACCAGTGTTGAAAACCTCAGTTCAAGAAATTGTACAGAACCAAATTAAATAACAAGTAAAAAAGCTTAAGTCGGGTGTCCCGAATTTGAAATACTCTGTACATATGTTTACAATAATTATAGAAAATAAAAAAAATTAAGAAAGTAAAAAAAAATTCAATGATCGATTTTACCTTTCTCGGTATTCGAACTCACGTAAAGGGTGTATAATTGCACATTTACATAGCAATTGCGTCTGTGTGAGTGTATGTATGCCTATGCGCATCTATTCGTGTCTGTATAAGCATTTTCGCAGTCAACCAAACAGCAACATCAACAACAGCCGCGGGCAGCGCTTGAGCAGCGCTGCAGCAGCAAATATATTTATGACTATAACTTCTTGGTAAATCGGTCTATCATAATGAAACTTGGCATACGGACACATAATTACTAACTGGGGGTATTTGCAAAATTTTAGTTCGAAATTCCAAGAATTACGGGAGTTACGACTTGCGGGGTAGAGGGGGGAGGGAGGGAAATTCCAAAATATACATTTTCTGCGTATTCACACAAGGCACCTTGGACTAAAATGTGTGCCTAGGTCTTATGGTCTCCGAGATATAGGCGATTATACGAATGGAAAATCGGGAAAACCCCCATAGGGGGGAAGTGGGGGGGGGGGGAAATCAAAAAAATAAAACAAACTCGTATAGAATACACACATAACGCATCTTTGTGCATCTTTGGTGTCTCTATCTCTTATAGTCTCTGAGATCCAGTCTCTGAGATCCAGACAGACAGACAGGGCTAGATCGACTCGTCTTGTCACGCTGATCAAGAATATATATACTTTGTGGGGTCTGCCACGCCTCCTTCTGCCTGTTACATTTTTCAGCTCCCGCAAACCTAATATACTCTTGTACATTTCATGTACAGAGTATAAAAATATCTCATACTTGAAAATCGGTTGTTTATTTTCAAAGATATTCAATGTTTACATACCGACATAAAACATGGCGTATCCTATATGTATGTATGTTCATTCGTATTGCACTGACAGAGCAAGAAATGTTAATTAATTAAAAATTATTTAACATTTTTAAAAGTAATTTATTTGTTGTTTAGTACATTTGGCATTAGGGTTTTCATTAGTAACTTTATGCAGCAACAACAAATTACAAAGAACGCAAATATCAAATAGTTGGGGACATCATATACACACACACACAGAACAAGCAACAGTTCGTGTCTATGTGTGCGGTTCTCTACGTACGGTTGAAAAAGTAAAGAGAAACATGCATGCATATGTACATACATATGTATGTATGTATGCCTGTGTATGTACATATATAGCATGTATGTACATTCGTATGGACAATCGAGCACTGTTGTTTGATTGTAATAAATAATGTTCTATGGTTTTAAATCAAATTTTTAAAACTAAAAACAACAACAACTGCAAGTCATTGGCTCGCGCTTCATCTTTCGTTTTGATCATTTACGCCTGTTAATTTCAAAGGCAAAATGCCAAAAGTTTACAGTTACCGACGCTAGGCAACGACTGTGTAAGCGATAGTAAAGCAGAAACCGCGTTGCGGGCAGATGTACATATGTATGTATGTTTGTATATGATTTGTTCTAATTGATCTTAATAAATTATAAGATGTTATTATTTAAATTTTCTATTTATTGCATTCAAACTTCAATGGAATTATTGATTGTATCGACGGATTCAACTATCGATAGTTTTGATGCTCTACTTGTAGTACATAGAGCATCCGACATATGCTCATCTAAGCTGATCGAATATTTACAACGACTTACCGTTTTAGTGTTAGCTAACAACGCCACAAATGTATTCTGAACAAATCTAAGAGTCATTTACCGTTAAGCCTATTTTGTGAGTGTATTCATATGATTTACAAAAGTAGAAACACACCTTTTACATTCACAACAATCATATTTGGAATTGAAGACACACATTAGTATTGAATTAAAAAATTTAATACATATATACGTATGTATGTATATAGGCGGATAACGCCTGCATGAACAATTTAAATGTATGTACATATCAGCGTTGCCGAACGCTCCAATTTTGGCGGGACGTCCCGATTTATAAATCAAAATTAAATGTCCCGCGTCGGACTTTTCGGGGATAACTCGACCGTGCGTACAACGTGCTGAGGAAGCACACAGTTAAGTTAGGACTGGCATGCGCCAGGTGCGTAACGAAGATATGTACATATGTAGGTATGTACGTATAACCATACATAGCAGTACTATATTTGCTATTTGGAAAATGAACTCTTTAAAAAACTTTAGAGATCGTCGAAAGAAGAATATCATATAGTAAATAAACTTATAATTATAAGCACATTTTACTTAGCCCAGCAAAGACGGGCAAGACCTGCTATGCATATAAGGATAGATAGCGCCTGCATCAAAAAATAAAATGTAGTTATGTATGTATGTATGTACATATCAGCGTTGCCAGACGTCTCGATTTTGGCGGGACATCCCAATTTTTAAACCAAAATTAAATATCCCGCACGGGACAGGCTCAGTCCCGCTATTCGGGAATAACTCGACCACGCGAGCAGCGTGCTGAGGAATTTGGGACGAGTTGCACTTATAAATGAGGACTGTATGTATGTCGTTGCTAAATTTTACAATGTTTAATTCTATAAACTACTAGCCCTCAATGTCACAATTTATTATGTATGCATACGTACATATGTATGTATGTATGTATTTTATGTAGACACATGTTTATGTATACATGCATGTTTATTGGCTTTATTGGTGCACGAAAATCCGTATGTAAATATGTGCAATCAACGCACAGCCCAAATGGTAAGCGTTAAAAAGCTGTCAAAGTGTGGGTGAGCACCAAAAAGTGGTTTTAGAAAATAAGAAAACCGATTAACTTTAAAATTAGTTTATTTACTCTGAGAAAGAATAAAAGATAAACTGAGTTGTATTTTTGTAACTTTTCACAAAAAAGTAGAAGAAATGCTTATGATAAAGCAGGTATATATGTACATATACATATTTACATACATACATATATACATGTACATAAAAATGTATGTGTATGCTCATTTAAATTTTGTGCAGTTCCATAAGTTGACCAAATAACTTTGCTAAAATGTACAGCTTTTATTTCTAGAAATTACTTATCTTGATTTATCCCTATCATACTATATACATACATAAATATACATACATTCAGTGAGTCACAGCTTTTTTCGTGCAGGCGCTAGACAAATCTTTAAAACGCCGTAGCAACAAAACGTTTTGTTAAATCAAAATTTTATAAATGCAGAATTGTAGCTATTTACTTCTAATATATTTAACAAGTTTAGTGAATTTCGAGCATTGCTTTATTTTTCAACAAAACAGAAATGGATCATATTGCAACCAAAAAAAGGTTGCAGCTTATTTCGTGCAGTGACTTACGCTTGCGAGCAATGTCGAATGGTTAACCGAGATGGCGTTTTTCTTCTTCCATTGTAATTAGCAATGGGTTAAATAATTTAATTTTCCGTTTTTTCCCAATTCAATATAAATATTTTAGCATTTTTATGTATGGGTTGCTTATTGGGTCGTTAATTGGTGCTCCTGCATTATAAAGAAGGCATGAGCCAACGGAAAATGGCGGAGCTCGTAGATCTGAGTCTTGGTAAAGTGCAGAGCATTATCGAACGCCTTGTACGTGAGAATAGGGTAGCCATTAAGGCTCCAAGTCCATTAATGCTCCAAATTAGATTTTCACGGATTCGTATTAGCGGCGTATAGTACGAAAAATTAAAGAAAGCCCCATGCTATTAGCCCCAAATTAGCTGTACAAATAGAGGATGAACTGGGCAAGAAATCCTCCACACAAACTCTCCTCCGCTGGGGAAATACGCTTTCAACGGTCGACAACCTTTAGGAAGCCGTTTATGTTTACAAGAAATAAGATGTGCCAACTTTAATTTGCCAAGGATTTCGTTCTGAAGCCAATGTCAACGAACGTAATTTTTGCATACGAGTCCATATTTAATATCAATGGGTCCAACGGAATGCAGCGATAATGGCGTATGCCGAATAATCCACTTCAAAAGAAACATCTTATTCCTAAATTTAGGCACGGAGGAGGAGTTATACATGTTTGGGTCTGTATATCTGACTCCGGAGTCGGAAAATTGGAAAATTTGCTCCAAAGTACCAATATGTAAGGTTTGGGGATCTTTTTCCATTTTACCAAGGCAATAACTCCAAACATTAATCGGGAATTGTGTAGACCTGGCTGATCTGGAACTGTCCACACGGTATGATTCCACCAGCTCAGTCACCAGACGTGAATGTCATATCAAATTTTTTGGCAATTTTGGATTAAGCTAGGGGCAAACGGCAAATTTAAAACATAAATGACCCAAAGAAGGCCTTATTGGAAGAATGGCAAAAAACACCATTAGAAACTACAAACAAATTTTTGGCTTCTATCAATAACCATTTGAAAACTCTTATCCAACATAAAAATGACCAAACCAAATATTAAATAGTAATTTAAAATAAATTTTTTTTAGTATGAAGCCACTGCACGAAATAAGCTGTGACCTAAAATTGTTGTGCCGTTTTAGTTTTTGGTATTTTTTTATTTTTATTAGTAGAAAATATTAGTTAGTAGAAAATAATGTTATTATTAGTAGAAATATTATAGTAGGAAATAATGCAATCCCTTTTAAAATATATATTAAGTTATCAACAAATTGGCGTTTAAATTTTTTTGGCTATTGTTCATATTTTGCCTGTAATGGCATTTCATTTTTGCGCCTGCACGAAATAAGCTGTGACTCACTGTATGTATGTACAAGTATATATATTATAACCATACATAGTATTTATTGTACTATATGTCCTAGCCCTCGAATCGTACCATAGTAATTTGCTATTTGGAAAATGAACTCTTTAGAGAGTGTCGGAAATATCATATAGTAAATAAAAGTATAATTGTAAGCACAAATACTGAGCCAGCAAAGACGGGCAAGACCTGCTAGTAATTAAATAGAAGTAAATAAATTATTAAAAAAATTATATAATTAGGGTTTTTTTTTGACGTGCTATTGCAAGTGTGCTTGAGTTTTAAGTTTGAAGTGCGTTTCGTTGTCTTAAGGTGATGCCGTAGATCGTTCCACAGCCGAACAGCGAATATGAAGAAATGTTTTGCCGAGCTTGATAATTTATATCTAGTGCAGACCAAATTATTTGTTCTTCGCGATGAGGAAAGACTTATTTTACTGTCAAATAATTTGGTTCTTTTCGTAATTTAACTCGATGTAAGAAAATTAGAGTTCTTAGTTTTATCCAAGCGTTAAGGGTCAAGTTGTATATTTTGTTGGCGAACTCCATTATAGGTTGTTTCCTCTTAATGTCAAAAATAAATCGTGCTATGCTATTGAATGCTACTTTGATTTTGTTCTGGCTTACAACATCACAGTTGGCAAAGATTTCAATGTCAGAGACAGATGCCTTAGCGTACCAACTGTTTTATTCCCATGATCATGCTAAGATGCTATGTATTCGATGGGGTCATTGTTTAGTGTCAGTTTCTCTAAATTGAGTGTGTTTACTTTCTTTTTGTAGATTACTAGACATCTCGACTTTTTAACAGAAAATAAGAATACCTCTCCGATGTGAAAACTGCCTGGGAGCGACTGGACAGGTATGATTGGACTAGGTTTATTGCTGTGTCCGAAAAATTATATAGCGTTTTCAATTTGGTAGAAAGAATGGTATGATTTACGGTGTCAAATGCTTTAGAGTAATCAAGAAGGGTTAAGAAGTTTACCATAGTGTTGTCCATTTGCGTGCGACTGTCCTCACTGATTTTTATTATGGAAGTGATACAGCTCATTTTTTTCCTACAGCCCGATAGTTTGTTGCTTAAAAGTGATCTTTCTGTCATGTAGTTGGTTATTTGGTTCGTCATCATATGTTTAAGTGCTTTTGAAAGGAAAGGTAAGATTGAAATCGGTCTATAATCATCGCTTCCCGTTGGAATAGGAATTATTTTCCCGAATTTTCATTTATTAGGGTTGCAAGATGTTGTTACCACTGTGTTAAAAATGTGGGTGATATATTTTAAGACCTTAGCGAGCTGCACCTTTTGGATGTAACTCAATGCCAACAGTGTTGGACTTCACTTTTAGGATTGAGTGTAAGACATCACATTGACGAACACATATTAAACTAAAACTAGTATCACAGCTTACTAATAATGTAGAATTCAGATACTCATTTTTCAGGTTTCAGGTACTGCTAACTGTATAAAATTATCGTTTTACTTATTTAAATCAACGTCTGGAGATATAGAAGGTCTACTTTCCCAACCCCTATCTTTTTGATTTCCGCCCAAACTTGTTTGGATGAGGTGGCTGAAGTGAATTTAGCAGAGTAGTAGGCACGCTTAGCATTGATAGTTTTTTTGCACTTCCTATATCTCTGTTATACCAATAATGTTGACGGGGCTTGATTGTAATTGTAATTAGTAATTCCAGGAGGAGATTTTGATTGCGCATAATTTCCTGCATTGTGTGTTGTATTGCTACCATTGTATTTGTTAGAGATGCCAGAATTGATTCAATTCCACTAAGCAATTGGGATGGATTTGCAGTGGTATATTTATATGTTGCAATTTTGTTTTTAAACGCACAATTTTTTATGCAGCAGGTAAGCATTGCATTGTTGGGCAGTAGTTTCTGGTCCCTGTTGCAATGTCTGACGATTCATTATTCCTGCAGTGGTTTGTTTGGAGACTGAGGCGTACGACTCGTTGGTGTAACTTAACGCCTTAGCAAAAGATACTTCTAGAATCGTAGTTGATGGTATGTACGGCAAGTTTTGTCGGATGATTGGATTTCGAGCTGCGGACTTTTGTTGGCTTAGGCAAATTTTTATAGCCTGTACCCAAAGGGTGAAAGGCTATACTAGGTTTGTGCGAATGTATGTAACAGGGAGAAGGAGGCGTGGCAGACCCCACAAAGTATATATATTCTTGATCAGGGTGACAAGCCGAGTCGATATAGCCATGTCCGTCTGACCGTCTGTATGAGCGCAAGGATCTCAGAAGGTATAAGAGCTAGAATAGCCGAACTTGGTATCCAGGTTTCCCTGAGTCCGTGTGCCAAGTTTCATCATGATAGGTAAATTCTGAAGGCAGTTATAGCCATAAATAAAATCGCGTGCCCAATCGCTGCACATAGGTGACATAAACTAGTTGCTTGGCCTTAGCTGTTTCTTTCGTTATCTTCTTTAGGTAAACTGAGAATCAGCGCCTCAGTTGGCCCAGTGTTTTTGCTGTTTTAGTTATTTTGGGTGCGTTGTTTTTCTAAGTCGCTTGTGGGCTTAGTTTTCGTTTAATTTGCACATAGCGCTCGAGCCCAGTTTGTATTAACGCTCAGTTAGCGCTTTGAGTAATTTTCTAATTCCCCCCCCCCCAATTAATGATCTTAAATAACACCCGTATTTCTTGGAGTTTCAAGCTCAAATTTTGCTCAAATTTCGGTAGTGATTATATGTCCGTATACCAAATTTCATTATGATAGACCAATTAAACTGGAAGTTGTTGCAATAAATATAATTGCTGCCCAAGCGCTGCCCGCAACTGTTCTTGATGTTGGTGCTTTGGTTGACTGCAAACATGCTCACACTGACACGAATAGACACGCATAGACATGCTCACATAGATGCAATTGCTATGTACATGTGCAATTATACACTCTTTCCGTGAGTTTGTATAAAAAGAGATGTAAAATCGACAAAAAATGTTTTTTTTTAATTTTTTTAATTTCTATAATTATTCTACACATATGTACAGAGTATTTCAATGTCGGAACACCCGACTTTAGCTTCTCTACTTACTTATTATTTCTCCCATTTAAATTTGTCACAAACCGTTGAATATTCTTTTGTTATTTAGTCGATTTCACTAACAACATTAATTTGACTTCTATTTTCATATTTCAGAGCAATGGATACACGACGCACTTTATTTATTTTCACAGTACCAGATTTTAAAGTTTCAATCGTTTTTGCGAAAACATTGTTTATTGTGTTGCTGATGGTATCGCAAGTGGAATTATCATTTCGTTGTTTTTCCGGTAAATGTCTTTATTTTGACTTATTTAAATATTTTTGGAATGGTTATTTTAGAATAAATACTAATGCAATATTTTACCTTATAATATAAAGATGTATCTATCCGAAAGCCGATAATTGGAGAAGTTGGCATTGGTCTTCAGGTAACAAAACGGGCTTCTCATCAAGTGATGTCTCGCATTTTCTCAATTTTCCTAGTGGAAATTTTAAACTATAGAGATGTGAAGATCATTCCAATAGAGTACAAAAATGCATCTGACCCACAGAACGCTTGGTATACTTTAGACTTTGTAAGGTAAGGTGGTTTTATAAGTCACATGTTTAATACTTAAAATATTTAATTTTTAAAGACGGCACAATAGATTTCCTAACATTAGCATGATCAATTTGGAAGTTTGGATGCCATACTCTGCTTACAAGCTACCACCAGAAAACATCTCAGATGCGGGTGCATCGTTAACACCTGGACGCTTTGGTTGGTTTGTACCAACAGCACAGATTGCCTTAGGACCAAAATCTGTATTTAGCCTGCATTATGAGGTTTTCAGGAACATAAGCAATATATATTATAACCTTTATGTTATTGAAGACAGCATAATTAATGATATATTTAAGGACGAGAGGTAAGCTTTCATGTGATAGTATGGTCTTCATCAAATCTTTGTTCGCCTCTTTATGCTCATTCAAAAGCAATGTTTATACTCTGTATATGAAATGTGCAAGAGTATATTAGGTTTGCGGGAGTTGAAAAACGTAACAGGCAGAAGGAGGCGTGGCAGACCTTACAAAGTATATATATTCTTGATCAGCATGACGAGACGTGTCGATGTAGTCCTGTTTTTTTGTCTGTCTGTCTGTCCGTATGAACACCTGGATCTCAGAGACTATAAGAGGTTGAGTTGCACAAATATGCGTTATGGGTGTACGCTCTGCAAGTTTGTTTTATTTTTTTGATTTTCGCCCCCACTTCCCCCCCTATGGGGGTTTTCTCGAATTTCCGTTCGTATAATCACCTATATATCGTAGATCATATAACCTAGGGACACCAAATTTCAGTCCAAGATGCCTTATGTGAATACGCAGAAAATGTACATTTTGGAATTTCCCACCCTCCCCCATTTCCCCCGCAAATTTTTTCTAGAGAGTTCAACAGCCCCCTGCCCCCCTGCGTACACCCTTGTAGTCCGTTTTCCTTAATTGTTCGTTAATTTTTGTGTTTTTTTTATTGTATAGAGTAAAGAAAAATTCGATTTTCATTCATTCGATTTTATTTTCAAAATTATTTTATGCAATTGGCTCTAGTTACATATACTACAAATTTGGGGACCGTCGAAAAGTATATATAATATTATATATATTTTTCATACGATATGAAAAAAAATAACGAAATCAAAAGTTATTAATGAAAATGCCAAATGTACTAAAGAATAAAAAATTACTTTTGAAAATGTTAAATAGTTTTTAATTAGTCAACATTTCTTGCCAGTGCAAGACAAATGCATATACATATGTATGTATATACATGTGTACATCCATTCACACATTAGTGTCTCACATTTTGCTTTGGCTATTTCAATCGTTTGCACCCAACTACACGAACAGCTGCTTGTATGTGTGTGTATGTATACTATGTTGTCCCCAACTGTTTGATGAATTGTATGTTGTTTGTTCTTCCTGCATTTGTGAGGCGTAGCCCGTATTTCTATATTTTAAAAATCCTTAGATGCAAAGTTGCCGATTTAGTTAGAGTAGATTATAAAAACCAAATTTGAGGTTGATTGGTGGAAAAATGGGGATTATTCAAACAAACTTTGGTTTCGTTTTCCCCCACTTGGAGCTCGAATTTACCAAAATCCCTTCTTAGTGCTCTCCTACACTATGATGGTATGATACATGAGTTAAATTTTCAGCTTCCTTCCTTCATAGGAAAATCGCCCTTTTTCATGCCCAAGGAAAAATGATGAAAAATTAAGTATGCAGTGTTTTTTGAATTATTTTAGAGATTACACAAACCAAGTTTGAAGCCAATCAAATGAAAATTGCAGATTTTTCGTACAATCCTTGGAGCCCGTTTTACCCCCTTTGGAGTTCGAATTTTCCAAAACCTTTTTAGTACCCACTTTCACTGTGAGAGGGATCTTGTGTCAAAATTTCAGCTTCTTAGCTCTTACCGTTTGGGCTGTTCATTGATTGCCAATCAGTCAGTCAGGACAAACTGTTTTATATACATAGAGATAGTTTGTTATCAAAGCTATAAACCAAACACGACGAAGTACTTGCAACATCGTCTAAAGTGTTAAACAAGTAAAAAAGCAACGGTCGGGTGTCCCGACTTTGAAATACTCTGTACATATATTTACAATAATTATAGAAAATTAAATAAATTATGAAAATAAAAAAAAATTTTTTGATCGATTTTACCTCTCTCGGTATTCGAACTCACGTAAAGGGTGTATAAATGCACATATACAAAGCAATTGCATCTGTGTGAGTATATTAATGCCTGTGCGCATCTATTCGTGTCTGTGTAAACATGTTTGCACTCAACCAAAGCACCAGCTTCAACAACAGCTGCGGGCAGCGCTTGAGCAGCAAATATATTTATGGCTATAACTTCTTGTTAAATTGGTCTATCATAGTGAAACTTGGCATACGGACACATAATGACAAACTGGGGTATTTCCAAAATTTTAGTGCGAAATTCCAAGAATTACGGGAGTTACGATTTGCGGGGTAGAGTGGGGAGGGAGAAAATTTCCAAAATACACATTTACTGCGTATTCACATACGGCATCTTGGACTAAAATATGGTGTCCATAGGTCTCATAGTCTCCGAGATATAGGCGATTATACGACGATTATACTGGGGGTATTTTAGTTCGAAATTCCAAGAATTACGGGAGTTAGAGAAAATCGCGATTTGCAGTGGAGAGGGGGGAGGGAGGGGAATTCCAAAATATACATTTTCTGCATATTCACATAAGGCATCTGGGACTTTGGTGTTCCTAGGTCCTATAGTCTCCGAGATATAGGCGATTATACGAATTGAAAATCGGGAAAACCCTCATAGGGGGGAAGTAAGGGGGAAATCAAAAAAATAAAACAAACTCGTATAGAATACACACATAAGGCATCTTTGTGCAAAATTTGGTGTCTCTATCTCTTATAGTCTCTGAGATCCAGTCTCTGAGATCCAGACAGACAGACAGGGCTAGATGGACTCGTCTCGTCATGCTGATCAAGAATATACATACTTTGTGGGGTCTGCCACGCCTCCTTCTGCCTGTTACATTTTTCAGCTCCCGCAAACCTAATATACTTCTGTACATTTCATGTACAGAGTATAAATATGTAAAAATATTTCATTAACTGTTTAAAATTTTTTAGTGTTGAAAAATTTGAGAGCACAAAATGTGTAAAGCAACGATGTGTAACAATAATCGGAGAATTTCGACAAGAATCAATGTTTGTTGAAAATTATTTGATTGAGTCTGGTAGCTTCGTCAATGTTTTATGGATGGGACACAAATTTCGAGAAACTGTATCAAAACTAAACCAATTGTATAAAACTATGTACTCAGATGGATCGAAAAGGTTTATTATATTACATTGGACCCCATCAGATATAATTGATGCTGGCATTAAGTACATGCAAATAACATTGCCAAGATGTGAAGATTTCGTATCTTTAGAACGTTTTAATTGCAAATATGAGCTCACATCTATTCTTAAATATCATGTAAGCAGTTTACAAAATGATAAGCGTCTGATCTATGCACTACGGAATTTTTTTATAAGTGATGAGGACCTGCTTAATATCATGAGTGATTTAAATACCCAGAGAGAGAAGTTTTCAACCGTAGAGGATGCCTATGATCGCGTCGCTTGTAACTGGTTACGTGGTAATAACCAAACCTACAGCAACTGGATTAATAAAGACCCAATAACACTCTGGATCGGTGGCATATTTCCTTTTAATACGTCAAATGAAGCATATAAAAATATTAATAGAGCAGTGTCCAATGCTGTTTCTGCTATTAATAAGAACAGGAATGTGCTTTCAGGCTACAATTTGAAAGTTATGGAGAACAATGAGCAGTGCATGTCGGATGTGGTTATGAAGGCGTTCATTCACTATTTTAATTTGCCTAATATGCTTGGTGTGTTAGGACCTGCTTGCAGTGAAACTGTTGAGCCTATAGCTGGTATTTCAAAACATATGAATATGATGGTCTTATCATACTCAGCAGAAGGCGCTTCATTTGTAGACCGGGCTAATTATCCATATTTCTTTCGTACTATTGGGTCCAATATGCATTATGTAAATGCTTATTTATCCATTATGAAAAAACTAATGTGGCAGCGTGTAGCAGCCATAACTGAAGGGGATCAGAAATATTCCGAGTATATATCCCACATGGAGAAAAAATTGAAAATAGAAAAGTTAAAGTTAATAATTCATCGGAAACTTCGCATTGATGTGACACCCATGGATGTGAAAGAGGTTTGTCCTTTTATAATTCTATACAAGTTATTGTGTATAAGGATAATACTTGTGATTTTACAGTACTTACTCGAAATAAAGGAGTCACACGTTAAAATCATCATAGCAGATATTCATAGAAAGACGGCAGCAATTACATTTTGTGAAGCTAAGAAATTGGGAGTAAGTTCATTCTAGTACTGATAAGCGTGTGATATTTTAGAAATTAATTCACAGGATTTATTTACAATTCCTTTTATCGAACATGTTTATCTTCAGGTTCCATTAAATTATATGATACTAGCAGGTCTTGCCCGCCTTTGCTGGGCTAAGTAAAATGTGCTTATAATTATAAGTTTATTTACTATATGATATTCTTCTTTCGACGCTCTCTAAAGTTTTTTAAAGAGTTCATTTTCCAAATAGCAAATATAGTACAATAAGTACTATGTATGGTTACACGTACATACATATGTACATATCTTCGTTACGCACCGGACGGACTGCCAGTCCTGACTTAACTGTATGCATCCTCAGCCCGTTGTACGCACGGTCGAGTTATCCCCGAAAAGTCCGACGCGGGACATTTAATTATACCCTGTACCCGTAGGGTAAAAAGGGTAAAACGGTAAGGCGCTGTAAATATGCGATCAGCTGAGATGCTAGAGATGTGTCGGGGCATGTGTCGGATATTCTATGAGCTAGAGTATCAAAACAATCGATAGTTGAATCCGTCGATACAATCAATAATTCCATCGAAGTTTGAATGCGATTAACAGAAAATTTAAATAATAACATCTTATGATTTATTGAGATCAATTAGAACAAATCATATACAAACATACATATGTATGTACATCTGCCCGCAACGCGGTTTCTGCTTTACTATCGCTTACACAGTCGTTGCCTAGCGTCGGTAACTGTAAACTTTTGGCATTTTGCCTTTGAAATTAACAGGCGTAAATGATCAAACGAGCGAAAAACTTGCAGTTGTTGTTGTTTTTCGTTTTAAAAATTTGGTTTAGAACAATAGGACATTATTTGATATTTGCGTTCTTTGTAATTTGTTGTTGCTGCATAAAGTTACTAATGAAAATACAAATGTACTAAACAAAGAAAAAATTACTTTTAAAAATGTTAAATAATTTTTAATATATTTATACATATGTATGTGTGTACATTCACACAGTAGTGTCTCACATTTTGCTTTGGCTATTTCAATCGTTTGCACGCAACTACACGCACAGCTGTTTGTATGTGTGCGTGCGTGTATGTATACTTAGTTGTCCCCAACTGTTTGATCTTTTGTATTGTTTGTTCTGCCTGAATTTGTAATATGCATATTTTGAAAATCCTTGAACGCAAAGTTGTAGATTTAGTTACTTAGATTACAGTCCCCAAGTAGCCCCGTCTACCGTCTGTCCGTCCGTATGAACTCCTGAATCTCGGAGACTATAAGAGCAAAAGACGCAAAATTTTGCTCACAGGTGGCTTACACTCGTAAGAATACGCATATTCCGATATAAATGTGCAGTAATGTGTTTATTATTATACTCTGTACATGAAATGTATAAGAGTATATTAGGTTTGCGGGAGGTGAATAATGTAGTAGGCAGAAGAAGGCGTGGCAGACAAAGTACATATATATTTTCTTCATCAACATGACAAGACGAGTCGATCTATGTCTGACTGTCTGTCCGTCCGTGCGTAGGAACACCTGGATCTCAAAGACTATAAGAGCTACAAATCTTGCACAATGATGCCTTATTTGTGTACGCTATACGAGTTTGTTTTATTTTTTGATTTTTACCCTACTTATCCCCTATGGGGGATTTTCGGAAACGCCGTTCCTATAATCACCTATATTTTGGAGCCTTTAAAACCTGGGGACACCAAATTGTAATCCAAGATGTAGTGTAGTAATAGGCAAGAATAAATATTCAATTGTGCGAAATTGTTCGAATTATAAATGCTCTTTATTTATAAGTGTTTGGTTGCGATTTAAGCGACGAAAATCAAACTTATGTAAATGTTAATTGCCGAACTGCAATTCAATTTATTAAACAATTGCCGAAGTTCAATGTTAATGTAAAAATTGGTCTAATAGACGGAAAACTAGGGTTTGTAGTATCGTCACAAGCGAACAACGAACGATGCGATTTGGCAGTTGGTTAACAAGTAAAAAGATTCGGGCGCTGTAGCAGTGCAGCGCCTTAGGCAAAATTATAGCAAATTCAGAACAATGCGTAAAGGTAAAATAGGAATTTGAGCGACAAAGCAAACAATGAGTTAAGATTACGTTAAATGGCTTAACTTGCTGCATAGAGCAAGATTAGAAATTGAGTGATTTTGTGATCGAATTAAACAAATGTATTTATGATGAGCTGTTGCCTTTTGGCTGTGGCGACTGCATAACCAAATAATGTACAAGTATATTGAAAATCCCCTACTTTTCCCGTAATTAGCGATTTTTCATAACTCCCGTAATTCCTAGTTATTATAGCCTGTACCCAAAGGGTGAAAGGCTATACTAGTTTTGTGCGCATGTATGTAACACACAGAAGGAGGCGTGGCAGACCCCACAAAGTATATATATTCTTGATCAGGATGAGAAGACGAGTGGATATAGCCTTGTCCGTCCGTCCGTCTGTCCGTCTGTCTGTCCGTCTGTCCGTATGAACGCAAGGATCTCAGAAAGTATAAGAGCTAGAATAACCAAACTTGGTTTCCATATTCTCCTAAGACCGAGAAAGTACGAGTTTGAGTTTTTTTTCGATGCACCCCCCCACTCCCCCGCAATTCCTGTTTTTTCTTATAACTTCCGTAATTCTCGGAATTTTGAAATCAATTTTGGTAGGTACATCCAGTTAGTACTAATGTGTCATCTTGATAGGTCAATTCTGAAGAAAGTTATAGCCATAAGTAAAATCGCTGCTCATGCGCTGCCTGCAGCTCTGTCGGCAGCGCTGCCCGCAGCTGTTGTTGTTGTTGCTGCTTTGGTTCAACTTTGTGCTGCATACATACACGCATATAAACACTCATAGGTACGTGATGTAAATGTATGCTGTTAAAACTGAACATAAACGTGTATTCTAATTTAATTTAATTAATTAATTTTAATTAATTCATTCATTCATTTTTTTTAATAATTTTTTTTTTTTTTTTTAATTTTTTTGTTTGTTTAATTTTTCATTTTTGTGGAGAGTACAGGCTATTTTACTGTCGGGCTTGCTCGACTGTAGCGTTCTATCTTGTTTATTATGAGTTCGTATGCCAAGTTTCATTATGATAGGCCGATAGACATATGTACTGACTCCACTTGATTTTTTTTATATACTTGTATTTATATAATTGTTTTACACCCGACTTTAGCTTTTCCAGTTTTGTTTAATTGTTATATATTTTATTGTAGATGATCCAGAAAGATGAATATGTGTGGTTTTTACCTTCATGGCTTTCAAAGGACCCTTATATGTGGCAGGTTTTAGTGAATAATAGTTGTACGTCTGATGAATTCATAGAGGTAACTCTCATAGCTATATATATTTTTCGCTTAACATTCAGCTTTTTTGTTTTATTTTTAGGCACTTGACGGTCATTTTAGTATAATGCACACTCCGTTTGGAAATCCCGAAGCAATCATGCAGGAGGGAAAAACTATAAGAGATTGGCTTGAATTATATAACATTACGCATGTGGCTTCCTCGAATTACATTGGCTTTGCCTATGACGCCGTATGGACTTATGCATTTGCCGCACAAAAGCTATTAGAATGGGATAAGGATGCGTTTTTCCGATTGAGATCCACTGATGTGGTAAAAAAATTGGCGGACCTAATATGGGAGACTGATTTTTATGGAGTATCGGGTAAAGTAAAATTTGGCCGAGGTGGGTCAAGGATAAACATTGGCATAGACATTTTACAGTGGAGAAACATGGACTATAATATTGTTGGAAAGTTTTCCCTGACGGGAGAGGGCTATGGTGAAAACATTAGTAAAAACGTGAGGAGTGGACAGTTATTATTTAACTTATCTAAAGTTCATTGGTTGAAAGATCGAGTACCACAGGACGGTAGATACGATTGTAGATTTTCATTCTTAGCTCAAACATTAAAAACTGATTGTGATACTACTACAATGCTATTCTCCATAATCATGTGCATGATTTCTGTAATATTCATATCGGTAATATCTTTTATATTTTTGAAACAACGCTATGACCGAAAATTGAAGCGATCAGCTAAGATTATGAAAACTTTTGGAATAGATCTTTCGGCACCATCCCAATATAACAGCAATAGCCTGGACAAGTGGGAAATACCGAAAGATAATGTTGTAGTTAATAGAAGGTTAGGAGAAGGTGCATTTGGTACGGTATATGGTGGTGAGGCTCGGCTTGGTTCTGGAAACTGGACTGCAGTTGCCGTAAAAACACTGAAAGCTGGTGCATCCACCGAAGACCGTGTTGATTTTTTATCCGAAGCTGAGGCAATGAAACGGTTTAATCATAAAAACATAATACAATTGTTAGCTGTGTGTCTTCAAAGCGAGCCAATTTATTCTATAATGGAGTTCATGCTGTACGGAGACTTGAAAACGTTCCTATTAGCACGACGGAATATGGTTAATGACAAGGTTTCCGATGATTCCGACATTTCATCAAGGCGCCTTACCATGTATGCATTGGATGTTGCACGTGGATTGGCTTATCTGGCGGACCAGAAATACGTGCATAGAGATCTTGCATGCCGAAATTGCCTTGTAAATGCGCAACGGGTAGTTAAAATAGGCGACTTTGGTATGGCTCGTCCTACCTTTGAAACAGACTATTATCGCTTCAACCGAAAAGGAATGTTACCTGTACGTTGGATGGCACCCGAAGCACTGGCGCTGGGACGCTTTACGCCCGCTTCTGATATATGGTCATTTGGAGTTGTGCTATTTGAGATAATTTCCTTTGGTTCATATCCCTACCAAGGGCTTACTAACAGCCAAGTACTCGAATTTGTCAAAAAAGGAAACACATTAGAAATACCAATAGGTATCAAGCCACCATTAGTGGGACTTATAAATGCTTGTTGGAGTCAAGAAGCTTCTAAGCGCCCGACAGCTTTAGAGGTAATTGACTTCATTTTAAACTATCCAAGACTGCTGACACCCTCATTGGACTTCCCTGGTGCTGCCGTCGAATTTCCGGAGAAAGATGTCGATCAGTTACAGCTACTGCCACAACTACAAATAAATTCACCCCTCAATTCTGCCACTACACTCGGGATACAAAAGCATACGCTTTTTTGCGACCAACACTCATCGGAGCTAAGCACCAAGAGTGAATCCTGTCCCACCGCCTCACATCAAAGCAGCCCATGTACATGTTCACCCATTGCCCCAGATGGATATAGTATTATGTGCCCTCTTCTAATCAATCAGACCTGCGACAGCTCTGGGTCGTAAGCTTATTTAAACAAAGCCCAATTATAACATATTTTCAAAAAAATATTATTTGCCTTATCAGTGTATGTCATTAATCCATATTTGCTTAAAATTGAGATCTCCGTTTTCAATAAATGATTAAAAAATACATATTAATAATTGTTTCAATGCTTATCATACTGTAATTTGAATAATATGAAATACTAGCAGGTATTGCCCGTCTTAACGCAGCTCAATATTGCTGAAGATAAAGAGAGTCGCGCAACAAAAAAACAGAATGTCGTCGCCGGGTTGTTTTATACGTCTTTATTCATTTGATCGTACGCTTAAGACTAAATTCATCGCTGCTCGCAGGCAGCTCTCTTGCAGCTCTTATAGTCTCTGAGATCCAGTCTCTGAGATCCAGACAGACAGACAGATAGGGCTAGATCGACTCGTCTCGTCATGCTGATCAAGAATATACATACTTTGTGGGGTCTGCCACGCCTCCTTCTGCCTGTTACATTTTTCAGCTCCCGCAAACCTAATATACTTCTGTACATTTCATGTACAGAGTATAAATATGTAAATATATTTCATTAACTGTTTAAAATTTTTTAGTGTTGAAAAATTTGAGAGCACAAAATGTGTAAAGCAACGATGTGTAACAATAATCGGAGAATTTCGACAAGAATCAATGTTTGTTGAAAATTATTTGATTGAGTCTGGTAGCTTCGTCAATGTTTTATGGATGGGACACAAATTTCGAGAAACTGTATCAAAACTAAACCAATTGTATAAAACTATGTACTCAGATGGATCGAAAAGGTGTAACGTTGTTACTCTGCCGTGGGTATGCTCGCCGGCCAGAGTATGCTGAAATAAATTAGGCACCCCAAAGTGCCGAGGTGTCCACCAAATAAGAGAGGGCGGTATGCCCAAACTTCTCCACGTGTTTCTTTAATTGTAGGAAAACATACAGAGCGCTTCAGTGCGCGTTGGGCCTGAGCCAGAAGAGAACTAACTCAAAACGAACTTAAAATTACCCGCCTTCATGGCTTACTATTCTTACAATTACTTATTAGCTTAAAATTACTCGTAATGACGCGCAGCTGGTTGCTGCGCAACGCGTCGTTACACCTCCCCCTTTCCCCAAGGGGTCGAACGGCAGATGTGTAGCAGCTGGGTGGCAGCGCTGCCACCCCTCGCGTTTGGCCACCTGTCAACGCCACCTGTACCTTCACCGTCAGCTGTTCGCTCTGTCGCATTGTTGTTTTTCTGCATTTCCGCCGCGTGGTGCTGACGTGTCGTCATCCTCTGGATTCTGTAATGGGTGCTGTAGTGGCTGCTGTGGGACTGGCTGCTGTTGCCGTAGCTGTTTAGGGATCGCCAATGGAGTTAGCATACCGCCCATCTGCTGCGTCTCTGGTATATTCGGCGCTGAGTGTGTATCTCAGGCGGTGCGGTAATCTACATCGCTTCACATGGCCTGAAACGTAACAACAAACTTCGTTTAATTATGTTTGTAGGCTTACATGGGCATCTTCTTCGGCTAGAACGGCAGCTTTGCTGTTTCCGCTTTGGTGGACGCCGGTGGTGTTGCCGTTGCTGTTGTCGGTGTGGCTTCGGGCTTCGGTTGCTGTTGTCGTGGCTGTCGTGACCGTGGCTGCTGTCGTCGTGCTCGTTGATATGGCCGATCTAGTTGCCCGGACTGCCGCTGCGGCTGCGGAGATTGGTGCTGTGGCTGCTGTGAAGCTGCCGGTGGCGTGGTCCCGGTGACCATACTACCGCTGCCTCTGTCGTCGCCGCCTTCGTCGGCTTCGCTGTCTTCTGCATTCACCGCTTTTAGATCCCGCACATGTGCCGTTCTACCTCTGCCGCCCGCTCCTGGTCGCACACGCACTATAACTGGGGATATGAATGCTCGCACCGTGAATGGTCCATCGAAGCGAGGCGCCAGCTTGGCCGCAAACTGCTCGGCTGCGTTGGACAGGTGATGTTGTCGCACGAGCACCTCGTCGCCCAGTCTGGGTCGCCACTCGCGTCTCCGCAGATTGTACTGGCGTGCCTGATCCTCGCTTGTCACCAAGGCTGCATGTCGGGCTCTGCGATTTCGCCTCCGCCGTCTGCGTGGCCGTGGATCGTTTGTTCGCAATTGTACAGTTTGGCCGCCCACAGTCACCGCCCCGTTGGCCATTTGGACATAATCCAGTCCCAATGTGAGCTCATCTATGCATCCGGGGAGTGTGAGCAGCGGCAGTACTACGCGACTGTCGCCCACCGTGACCGTCGCCTTCGTTTCTTCACGGACCGTCTTCTGTGTCCCGTCAGCCATGGACACAGTCACGCTCACGGACCGTACATTTCCTCCGTCTGGCACCCGCAGGCGTTGCGCCAGCCTCGGGCTCGCGAAGCTGCGTGTCGCTCCGGTATCCACGACCGCCTCTACCAGTACACCATCGCAGTCTACTGGTAGCGCGGCCGCTACCCTGCGTGTCGTTGTTAATTGGAATTTGCCTGTGTGGGCTCGCCGACTGTTGATGTGGGACGAGCCCCCCCTGGCGTTTCCCGTCGCGCGTCGGCAGCATTCGTTCGCACGCACCCCCATCTTACCACAGTCCCAACAGTAGAGCTGTTGAGAGTTTGGGCACGCGTCCATACTGTGCCCTCCCATCCCGCAACGTCTGCAGATGGGTGGGCGACGATGCGTGTCCGCTGGGCCAACCGCCACCGGCTGTGGGATCGGCGTAGGGTGTGTGGCGTTCGTCTCATCATTGCCGGCCGCCTGTGACCGTGCTAGGATTGCTTGGTGCACGCCCTGTGCCGCCTGTACGTACCCATCGAGTGAGCTCACTTCTTCGCCTGCCAGGCGGAGATTGGTGCGTATTTCTGGTAGCCCGTTGGCGTGGACAAGTCTCAGCTGCTCCTCTGCAGTCATCTCCGCGCCGCGCATCAGTCGTTGCATCGCTCGGACATATTCGATAGGGCCCTCTGATGTGCCCTGGACCCGGCTGTATGCTTCCCGCCGGCGCTCTTCTATGTGGGGACCCGCTGGATATTCTTTTAGTAGGTCTTGGCGGAACTCGGCCCACCGTTGTACCAAATTGCGCCTTGACCACTCCCACTCCTTCGCCTCGCCAACCAGGACTTCCGGTAACACGGTCACCAACTCATCTAATCGCACGTTCCTCATCTCTGCCTTATCTTCCAGATCCCGGAGGAACGTTCTTGGGTCCCCGCTGCCGTCAAATCGGACGCCCCACTGGGCTACCTGTGTCGACAGTGCGGCTCGTCTGTCTCGTTCGGCTGATGTTGGCGCCTGTGGTCCTGCCACCGCCTGCGCGCTTGCGAGCGGTGACGCTGGAGTCGGTGCTGTTGGGTCATCTTCGTCAGGCGCATTACCAGCAGGCGCGGTGGAAGCGCAGACCTGGCTCGACAGTTTCTGGAAACCATCCTCCATAGCCTGGGCCAACCGGTGGGTGTACTGAGCCAACGCAACTGTCACCGAATCGGCAATCGCTTGTGTCAGGTCCGCCGTTGAGAGCACTGGAGCCACTGTTGGCGTCGCTGAGGCTGCCGTGGGCTCGGTTGTGGTAGCTCCCGTGACCGCTACCGAAATGTTCGGCACTGTCGCAGGAGTTAGCGGTGTCGTGTTTGCCTCTGTCACGACGAGCAGCCCCTCCGGTACGTCCTCTTGTTTCGGGACTCCCAGCCGTCCGCCGGGCACCGGGCTCAACTGACCTGTCGCCGCGGTACGCGACGACATGTTCTCGTAATATGCCGCTAGTTCTTCCAGGCGGGGTCGGTACTCTTCTTGGGCCGACTTCACGAACGTTGCCAGCCGCACCCGCAACGCCTCCACGGTGCCGGTCTCCTCGATGTCGAACTCGCGCAGCACCGTGCTGAGCTCTTCCTTCCGCAGCACACGTATCCAGCTCGTTCGTAGCATCGTAGGTCCACGCTCTCTTCCCTACTTGGTCGGATCTAACCTCAAACTTCTTTGGGGTCCCTGCGCGGGCGCCACTTGTAACGTTGTTACTCTGCCGCGGGTATGCTCGCCGGCCAGAGTATGCTGAAATAAATTAGGCACCCCAAAGTGCCGAGGTGTCCACCAAATAAGAGAGGGCGGTATGCCCAAACTTCTCCACGTGTTTCTTTAATTGTAGGAAAACATACAGAGCGCTTCAGTGCGCGTTGGGCCTGAGCCAGAAGAGAACTAACTCAAAACGAACTTAAAATTACCCGCCTTCATGGCTTACTATTCTTACAATTACTTATTAGCTTAAAATTACTCGTAATGACGCACAGCTGGTTGCTGCGCAACGCGTCGTTACAAAGGTTTATTATATTACATTGGACCCCATCAGATATAATTGATGCTGGCATTAAGTACATGCAAATAACATTGCCAAGATGTGAAGATTTCGTATCTTTAGAACGTTTTAATTGCAAATATGAGCTCACATCTATTCTTAAATATCATGTAAGCAGTTTACAAAATGATAAGCGTCTGATCTATGCACTACGGAATTTTTTTATAAGTGATGAGGACCTGCTTAATATCATGAGTGATTTAAATACCCAGAGAGAGAAGTTTTCAACCGTAGAGGATGCCTATGATCGCGTCGCTTGTAACTGGTTACGTGGTAATAACCAAACCTACAGCAACTGGATTAATAAAGACCCAATAACACTCTGGATCGGTGGCATATTTCCTTTTAATACGTCAAATGAAGCATATAAAAATATTAATAGAGCAGTGTCCAATGCTGTTTCTGCTATTAATAAGAACAGGAATGTGCTTTCAGGCTACAATTTGAAAGTTATGGAGAACAATGAGCAGTGCATGTCGGATGTGGTTATGAAGGCGTTCATTCACTATTTTAATTTGCCTAATATGCTTGGTGTGTTAGGACCTGCTTGCAGTGAAACTGTTGAGCCTATAGCTGGTATTTCAAAACATATGAATATGATGGTCTTATCATACTCAGCAGAAGGCGCTTCATTTGTAGACCGGGCTAATTATCCATATTTCTTTCGTACTATTGGGTCCAATATGCATTATGTAAATGCTTATTTATCCATTATGAAAAAACTAATGTGGCAGCGTGTAGCAGCCATAACTGAAGGGGATCAGAAATATTCCGAGTATATATCCCACATGGAGAAAAAATTGAAAATAGAAAAGTTAAAGTTAATAATTCATCGGAAACTTCGCATTGATGTGACACCCATGGATGTGAAAGAGGTTTGTCCTTTTATAATTCTATACAAGTTATTGTGTATAAGGATAATACTTGTGATTTTACAGTACTTACTCGAAATAAAGGAGTCACACGTTAAAATCATCATAGCAGATATTCATAGAAAGACGGCAGCAATTACATTTTGTGAAGCTAAGATATTGGGAGTAAGTTAATTCTAGTACTGATAAGCGTGTGATATTTTAGAAATTAATTCACAGGATTTATTTACAATTCCTTTTATCGAACATGTTTATCTTCAGGTTCCATTAAATTATATGATACTAGCAGGTCTTGCCCGCCTTTGCTGGGCTATGTAAAATGTGCTTATAATTATAAGTTTATTTACTATATGATATTCTTCTTTCGACGCTCTCTAAAGTTTTTTAAAGAGTTCATTTTCCAAATAGCAAATATAGTACAATAAGTACTATGTATGGTTACACGTACATACATATGTACATATCTTCGTTACGCACCGGACGGACTGCCAGTCCTGACTTAACTGTATGCATCCTCAGCCCGTTGTACGCACGGTCGAGTTATCCCCGAAAAGTCCGACGCGGGACATTTAATTATACCCTGTACCCGTAGGGTAAAAAGGGTAAAACGGTAAGGCGCTGTAAATATGCGATCAGCTGAGATGCTAGAGATGTGTCGGGGCATGTGTCGGATATTCTATGAGCTAGAGTATCAAAACAATCGATAGTTGAATCCGTCGATACAATCAATAATTCCATCGAAGTTTGAATGCGATTAACAGAAAATTTAAATAATAACATCTTATGATTTATTGAGATCAATTAGAACAAATCATATACAAACATACATATGTATGTACATCTGCCCGCAACGCGGTTTCTGCTTTACTATCGCTTACACAGTCGTTGCCTAGCGTCGGTAACTGTAAACTTTTGGCATTTTGCCTTTGAAATTAACAGGCGTAAATGATCAAACGAGCGAAAAACTTGCAGTTGTTGTTGTTTTTCGTTTTAAAAATTTGGTTTAGAACAATAGGACATTATTTGATATTTGCGTTCTTTGTAATTTGTTGTTGCTGCATAAAGTTACTAATGAAAATACAAATGTACTAAACAAAGAAAAAATTACTTTTAAAAATGTTAAATAATTTTTAATATATTTATACATATGTATGTGTGTACATTCACACAGTAGTGTCTCACATTTTGCTTTGGCTATTTCAATCGTTTGCACGCAACTACACGCACAGCTGTTTGTATGTGTGCGTGCGTGTATGTATACTTAGTTGTCCCCAACTGTTTGATCTTTTGTATTGTTTGTTCTGCCTGAATTTGTAATATGCATATTTTGAAGATCCTTGAACGCAAAGTTGTAGATTTAGTTACTTAGATTACAGTCCCCAAGTAGCCCCGTCTACCGTCTGTCCGTCCGTATGAACTCCTGAATCTCGGAGACTATAAGAGCAAAAGACGCAAAATTTTGCTCACAGGTGGCTTACACTCGTAAGAATACGCATATTCCGATATAAATGTGCAGTAATGTGTTTATTATTATACTCTGTACATGAAATGTATAAGAGTATATTAGGTTTGCGGGAGGTGAATAATGTAGTAGGCAGAAGAAGGCGAGGCAGACAAAGTACATATATATTTTCTTCATCAACATGACAAGACGAGTCGATCTATGTCTGACTGTCTGTCCGTCCGTGCGTAGGAACACCTGGATCTCAAAGACTATAAGAGCTACAAATCTTGCACAATGATGCCTTATTTGTGTACGCTATACGAGTTTGTTTTATTTTTTGATTTTTACCCTACTTATCCCCTATGGGGGATTTTCGGAAACGCCGTTCCTATAATCACCTATATTTTGGAGCCTTTAAAACCTGGGGACACCAAATTGTAATCCAAGATGTAGTGTAGTAATAGGCAAGAATAAATATTCAATTGTGCGAAATTGTTCGAATTATAAATGCTCTTTATTTATAAGTGTTTGGTTGCGATTTAAGCGACGAAAATCAAACTTATGTAAATGTTAATTGCCGAACTGCAATTCAATTTATTAAACAATTGCCGAAGTTCAATGTTAATGTAAAAATTGGTCTAATAGACGGAAAACTAGGGTTTGTAGTATCGTCACAAGCGAACAACGAACGATGCGATTTGGCAGTTGGTTAACAAGTAAAAAGATTCGGGCGCTGTAGCAGTGCAGCGCCTTAGGCAAAATTATAGCAAATTCAGAACAATGCGTAAAGGTAAAATAGGAATTTGAGCGACAAAGCAAACAATGAGTTAAGATTACGTTAAATGGCTTAACTTGCTGCATAGAGCAAGATTAGAAATTGAGTGATTTTGTGATCGAATTAAACAAATGTATTTATGATGAGCTGTTGCCTTTTGGCTGTGGCGACTGCATAACCAAATAATGTACAAGTATATTGAAAATCCCCTACTTTTCCCGTAATTAGCGATTTTTCATAACTCCCGTAATTCCTAGTTATTATAGCCTGTACCCAAAGGGTGAAAGGCTATACTAGTTTTGTGCGCATGTATGTAACACACAGAAGGAGGCGTGGCAGACCCCACAAAGTATATATATTCTTGATCAGGATGAGAAGACGAGTGGATATAGCCTTGTCCGTCCGTCCGTCTGTCCGTCTGTCTGTCCGTCTGTCCGTATGAACGCAAGGATCTCAGAAAGTATAAGAGCTAGAATAACCAAACTTGGTTTCCATATTCTCCTAAGACCGAGAAAGTACGAGTTTGAGTTTTTTTTCGATGCACCCCCCCACTCCCCCGCAATTCCTGTTTTTTCTTATAACTTCCGTAATTCTCGGAATTTTGAAATCAATTTTGGTAGGTACATCCAGTTAGTACTAATGTGTCATCTTGATAGGTCAATTCTGAAGAAAGTTATAGCCATAAGTAAAATCGCTGCTCATGCGCTGCCTGCAGCTCTGTCGGCAGCGCTGCCCGCAGCTGTTGTTGTTGTTGCTGCTTTGGTTCAACTTTGTGCTGCATACATACACGCATATAAACACTCATAGGTACGTGATGTAAATGTATGCTGTTAAAACTGAACATAAACGTGTATTCTAATTTAATTTAATTAATTAATTTTAATTAATTCATTCATTCATTTTTTTTAATAATTTTTTTTTTTTTTTTAATTTTTTTGTTTGTTTAATTTTTCATTTTTGTGGAGAGTACAGGCTATTTTACTGTCGGGCTTGCTCGACTGTAGCGTTCTATCTTGTTTATTATGAGTTCGTATGCCAAGTTTCATTATGATAGGCCGATAGACATATGTACTGACTCCACTTGATTTTTTTTATATACTTGTATTTATATAATTGTTTTACACCCGACTTTAGCTTTTCCAGTTTTGTTTAATTGTTATATATTTTATTGTAGATGATCCAGAAAGATGAATATGTGTGGTTTTTACCTTCATGGCTTTCAAAGGACCCTTATATGTGGCAGGTTTTAGTGAATAATAGTTGTACGTCTGATGAATTCATAGAGGTAACTCTCATAGCTATATATATTTTTCGCTTAACATTCAGCTTTTTTGTTTTATTTTTAGGCACTTGACGGTTTTAGTATAATGCACACTCCGTTTGGAAATCCCGAAGCAATCATGCAGGAGGGAAAAACTATAAGAGATTGGCTTGAATTATATAACATTACGCATGTGGCTTCCTCGAATTACATTGGCTTTGCCTATGACGCCGTATGGACTTATGCATTTGCCGCACAAAAGCTATTAGAATGGGATAAGGATGCGTTTTTCCGATTGAGATCCACTGATGTGGTAAAAAAATTGGCGGACCTAATATGGGAGACTGATTTTTATGGAGTATCGGGTAAAGTAAAATTTGGCCGAGGTGGGTCAAGGATAAACATTGGCATAGACATTTTACAGTGGAGAAACATGGACTATAATATTGTTGGAAAGTTTTCCCTGACGGGAGAGGGCTATGGTGAAAACATTAGTAAAAACGTGAGGAGTGGACAGTTATTATTTAACTTATCTAAAGTTCATTGGTTGAAAGATCGAGTACCACAGGACGGTAGATACGATTGTAGATTTTCATTCTTAGCTCAAACATTAAAAACTGATTGTGATACTACTACAATGCTATTCTCCATAATCATGTGCATGATTTCTGTAATATTCATATCGGTAATATCTTTTATATTTTTGAAACAACGCTATGACCGAAAATTGAAGCGATCAGCTAAGATTATGAAAACTTTTGGAATAGATCTTTCGGCACCATCCCAATATAACAGCAATAGCCTGGACAAGTGGGAAATACCGAAAGATAATGTTGTAGTTAATAGAAGGTTAGGAGAAGGTGCATTTGGTACGGTATATGGTGGTGAGGCTCGGCTTGGTTCTGGAAACTGGACTGCAGTTGCCGTAAAAACACTGAAAGCTGGTGCATCCACCGAAGACCGTGTTGATTTTTTATCCGAAGCTGAGGCAATGAAACGGTTTAATCATAAAAACATAATACAATTGTTAGCTGTGTCTCTTCAAAGCGAGCCAATTTATTCTATAATGGAGTTCATGCTGTACGGAGACTTGAAAACGTTCCTATTAGCACGACGGAATATGGTTAATGACAAGGTTTCCGATGATTCCGACATTTCATCAAGGCGCCTTACCATGTATGCATTCGATGTGGCACGTGGATTGGCTTATCTGGCGGACCAGAAATACGTGCATAGAGATCTTGCATGCCGAAATTGCCTTGTAAATGCGCAACGGGTAGTTAAAATAGGCGACTTTGGTATGGCTCGTCCTACCTTTGAAACAGACTATTATCGCTTCAACCGAAAAGGAATGTTACCTGTACGTTGGATGGCACCCGAAGCACTGGCGCTGGGACGCTTTACGCCCGCTTCTGATATATGGTCATTTGGAGTTGTGCTATTTGAGATAATTTCCTTTGGTTCATATCCCTACCAAGGGCTTACTAACAGCCAAGTACTCGAATTTGTCAAAAAAGGAAACACATTAGAAATACCAATAGGTATCAAGCCACCATTAGTGGGACTTATAAATGCTTGTTGGAGTCAAGAAGCTTCTAAGCGCCCGACAGCTTTAGAGGTAATTGACTTCATTTTAAACTATCCAAGACTGCTGACACCCTCATTGGACTTCCCTGGTGCTGCCGTCGAATTTCCGGAGAAAGATGTCGATCAGTTACAGCTACTGCCACAACTACAAATAAATTCACCCCTCAATTCTGCCACTACACTCGGGATACAAAAGCATACGCTTTTTTGCGACCAACACTCATCGGAGCTAAGCACCAAGAGTGAATCCTGTCCCACCGCCTCACATCAAAGCAGCCCATGTACATGTTCGCCCATTGCCCCAGATGGATATAGTATTAAGTGCCCTCTTCTAATCAATCAGACCTGCGACAGCTCTGGGTCGTAAGCTTATTTAAACAAAGCCCAATTATAACATATTTTCAAAAAAATATTATTTGCCTTATCAGTGTATGTCATTAATCCATATTTGCTTAAAATTGAGATCTCCGTTTTCAATAAATGATTAAAAAATACATATTAATAATTGTTTCAATGCTTATCATACTGTAATTTGAATAATATGAAATACTAGCAGGTATTGCCCGTCTTAACGCAGCTCAATATTGCTGAAGATAAAGAGAGTCGCGCAACAAAAAAACAGAATGTCGTCGCCGGGTTGTTTTATACGTCTTTATTTTTTTGATCGTACGCTTAAGACTAAATTCATCGCTGCTCGCAGGCAGCTCTCTTGCAGCTCGTAGGCTTGCATTACACACGAGAGAGGATTTACCGTTACAGTAGTGAGAGACTGCGGTATGAGAGAGGCCGCAGGCCTGCCACAATATAATGTTTCAAATTGTATTTATTTTGTGTGTGCATGACCAACCCATATATTTTCACCTTATTAATTACCAGTAGGAAGGCATTGAAGGTATTTAAATAAACATTTTCTGTTCTTGACAAAAAATTGTTCAGTAGTCCATTACATTTTTCTTCTTGAAAAAAAAAATTTCGTAGACGTACACGCACATGACCACTATAACTAATAAACTTTCTTAAGCTCGTATTCCCCCTTTGGAGCTTGAATTTTCCAAAAGCCTTTCTAAGTGCGCACCTACACTATGATGGATACTATGAAAGGTTAGGTTAGGTTAGGATGAAATGGCTGGGGTGATAACATTCACCCGCCCACTTAGGCCTTAAGGCCCGTTGTGATACCATGTAATCCCTAATTGTGCTGGTCAGTCTTCAGCCACCCGGTGGTATTTAAGAATTTAACTAGATCCGCGAGCTCTACATTTTTCATTTCCGAGAGGTCGCTCAAGAATGGCTTCCCTAGGGTGCGTAGTCTTCGCCTGCTCAGCGCCGGGCAGTGGCAGAGGAGATGCTCCACACTTTCCTCTTCCTCTTCGTCTCTGCAGCTTCTGCAGAAATCGTTAAACGGGATGTTTAGTCTCGATGCATGTCTGCCAAACGGACAGTGACCCGTGAGAGTCCCCACCACCATGGAGATCTCACTCCTTTTCAGCTTCACAAGCTTTAAAGTCCTTTTTATGTTAAGGGATGGCCAGGTAAGCTTAGCTCGAACGCACGAGCTCGTGCTCTCCCAGCGCTGCTGTGCTATTTGACGTGCATGGTTGCGCGTCAAAAGCCGAAAGGATGCTAACGGCATTCCCATACTTTCCCTATCGGGAAGGATGTTTGCGTTGGTTCCTTCCCTTGCCAGCTCGTCTGCTATGCAATTACCTTCAATATTATGGTGTCCTGGCACCCATATAAGGCTGATACTGACTAGTTGGGCCATCTCGTTGAGGGATCTGCGACAGTCAGTGATAACTTTGGAGTTGTCCACATTGGAGTCTAACGCTTTTAGTGCCGCTTGGCTATCTGAATATATATATATATATTGGTCTACCGCCTTCCATATCAGGGGATAGGTGCCTTGTGACCTCTTGTATCGCAGCCACTTCCGCCTGGTAGATGCTGCAATGATCAGGGAGACGAAATGACCGTCGTATCTCCAGGTCCGGAGAAAATATGCCACCTCCGACTCTCTGTTCCAGTTTAGAGCCATCCGTGAAATAGTTTATGGCTTCGTTTCTTCTGTGTGGTAGGCTATCCCACTCTGCACGAGTGGAATCCTGACTGCATATTTCTTATCAAAAATAAGTTTTGGTACACAGTAATCCGTATGGGTCGGAACCCCCGGTTGAAGAAGGAGTATGCCTACATGTCCTTTTGACGTGCTTTTCCAGGCAGAGGCCTCTCTTAGCCTTAGGGCTGAGTTTGTAGGAAGTTCCTTTCCGACTATGTCTAGTGGGAGAAGATGGAAGAATATATTAAGAGCCTCCGTTGGTATAGTACGAAGTGCCCCGCTAATGCATAATTCTGCCGATCTCTGCACCCTACTGAGTTGGGTGAGAACAGTTGATTTGTCCATCGCAGGCCACCATACTACGATTCCGTACAGAAGAATCGGTCTAACGATGGCCGTATATATCCAGTGTACAATTTTTGGTGAGAACCCCCATCTGGTGGTTATGGCTCTCTTGCAGATGTAGAGTGCATTTGTGGCTTTCTTCACCCGCTCTATTGTGTTGTCACTCTAGTGCAGTTTCCTGTCCAGGATGACTCCCAAGTACTTGGCACTGTGGCTGAATTTAAGAGGAACTCCTTTTAGTGTGGGCGGCTGGAGTTCCGGAATCTTGTACTTTCTTGTGAAAAGTACTAGCTCAGTTTTTGTAGGATTTACTCCTAGGCCGCATGTGGACGCCCATTGCGAGAGCGTCAATAGCGCCGTCCTCATGAGGTGACAGAGAGTCTGTGGGTATTTACCAATGCAGATTATTGATACGTCGTCTGCGTAGGCTATGACTGCATGGCCTTCCACCTCCATGCGTCGCAGCAGCTGGTTCACCGTCAGCAGCCACAATAGCGGAGACAGAACTCCACCCTGTGGGGTGCCCCTGCTAACGAACTTGCGGCAGGATTGTCCCCCTAGTTCGGCACTTACAGCCCTGCTAGTGAGCAACTGACTGGTGAAGCCTACCAGGGAGACATCTACCCCAAGGTCCGTCAACGACTGGGTGATTGCCGACGGTAATATATTGTTGAAGGCGCCCTCAATGTCCAAGAAGGCTACTCGGTTTCCCGGCCTTGGGGATAAACAAGACCCTTACCTCTCTCTAGCTTGCCGGAATGTGGTTGACTCTTAAACTATGAAAGGATACTTAAGTCCAAATATTAGCTTCCTAGCTTTTACCGTTTGGGCTGTGCGTTGATCACCAATCAGTCAGGACAAACTATTTGATATATATAGAGATAACGCAACGTTTTAAGATAGACTATGTGCAAAAAAGGGGAACAATTTTAAGAGTATATCCTAATTTTAAATGAACATTTATACTAGAGTCAATACGATCACGCACGAGCTCGGAATATGAAAAACGGCACTCGTGTCAATGCCGTGCAGCGATGAGCCACGATCAAAAAGCACTGACAATACCCATCTTAATTTGCTAGAGTAAAACTTTCGATAGTGGAATCCACCGAATCCATCGAAGTTAGAATGCAATAAAGAGAATATCTAAATAATAACACCTTTTAATTTATTGAGATCAATTAGAACAAATCATATACATACATATGTATGGATGTACATACATACATCTACCGGCAATGAGAAGCAGAATATGCGTAGCTCCGTTATTCGGTTTCTGTTTTACTATCGCTTACACAGTCGTTGCGTAGCGACGGTAACTGTACACTTTTGTCATTTTGCCTTTGCAATTAAAACGAGGATGATCAAATAATTTGTACGAAAGAATAAGAGCTTGCCAATGACTTGCAATTGCCGTTGTTGCTTTTCGTTTTAAAAATTTCATTTATGATTTAAAACAGTCCACTGTATATATACAAACATATTCATATGTATATGTATAGTACATACATACTATTTTAACCTTACGTAGATAAATACAGAGTTATCTGTAGTCCATTAAGGGCATATGCAGCTTTTTCCAAAGGGGGACCAAAGAATTAAAATTTTGGTTAAATAATGCACGGTGCGTTTAAATAACAATTTATGCATATGATTAATAAAACAAGTAAAAACTAGTAAAAAAGCTAAAGTTCCGACTTTGAAATAATCTGTACTGATGTTTAGAATAGTTATAGAAATTAAAAAATGAAGAAAATTTAAAAAAATAAGTTTATAGTGTAAAACAAGTAAAAAAGCTAAAGTCGGGTGTCCCGACTTTGAAATACTCTGTACATATGTTTACAATAATTATAGAAAATAAAAAAAAAAAAAGAAAAAAAAATTGGATCGATTTTACCTCTCTCGGTAGTCGAACTCACGTAAAGGGTGTATAATTGCACATTTACATAGCAATTGCGTCTGTGTGAGTGTATGTATGCCTATGCGCATCAATTCGTGTCTGTGTAAGCATTTTCGCAGTCAACTAAACAGCAACATCAACAACAGCCGCGGGCAGCGCTTGAGCAGCGCTGCAGCAGCAAATATATTTATGGCTATAACTTCTTGTTAAATCGGTCTATCATAGTGAAATTTGGCATACGGACACATAATAACCAACTGGGGGTATTTGCAAAATTTTAGTTCGAAATTCCAAGAATTACGGGAGTTAGAGAAATTGTGAGGGAGAGGGGGGAGAGAGGGAAATTCCAAAATATACATTTTCTGCGTATTCACACAAGGCATCTTGGACTAAAATTTGGTGTGCCTAGGTCTTATAGTCTCCGAGATATAGGCGATTATACGAATGGAAAATCGGGAAAACCCCCATAGGGGGGAAGTGGGGGGGGAAATCAAAAAAATAAAACAAACTCGTATAGAATACACACATAACGCATCTTTGTGGAAAATTTGGTGTCTCTATCTCTTATAGTCTCTGAGATCCAGGTGTTCATACGGACGGACAGACGGACAGACAGACAGACAGGGCTAGATCGACTCGTCTTGTCACGCTGATCAGTAATATATATACTTTGTGGGGTCTGCCACGCCTCCTTCTGCCTGTTACATTTTTCAGCTCCCGCAAACCTAATATACTCTTGTACATTTCATGTACAGAGTATAAACAGTAATATCCGTCTATGTTCTTTACTCTCCGGCCACTCCAACTGAAGTGTCACATCTTTATTATTCCTCGTTTTTCTTAAACGTATCGATACAATGTGTTTCTTAAGACTTTTACATTGTTGTTACATTGTTGTATTTTTGATTAGCAGTTAATTTTGAATTTATTTACATTGTATGGGCATTTCATGCCTTTATACTTAAGTATAGAGTTAAGTTTGTTGAAATAATCTGAATTGCAGATATAAGTTGTTTGAATTATCATTGAATTGTAGACTTAAGCCGTTTGTAAGTAATTAGTTGTA